GGGCATCATGAAAGATTGTGCTAAAAAAGAACTTGTACAGGGTTTACAAAAAAAAAATTACAGGGTTTTTTTCGCCGCAAAAATAAACTAGGCATCGCCTAACACTCATTCTCCACCCAAAGGTAGCGCTAGAGGTCACAACGAGATGCCAAAGTTTCAGCCCGATCCGATACCTTATTCAAAAGTTATGAGTGATTTTCTGAAAATTTCAATGGGAAAATGGAGCCCATTTTCGCCCGTTTTCGGTTTCTGTTGCCATAGAGTCCCATGCATTCGAAAACTCCGTCGGCCGCCATTTTCCGATTGAAATTTTCAGAAAATCACGCATAACTTCATAATAAGGTATCGGATCGGGCGGAAACTTTGGCATCTGGTTGTGACCTTTAACGCTACCTTTGGGCTGAGGTCCGAGGATGAGCGTTCGGCGATTCCTAGTTTATTTTTGAGGTAAAAAAGAACGTGTAAATTTTTTTTTGCTGACACTCTGTACTTTATTTTGGAAGAACATTATATTTATACTACTTCACTTCAAGTACGCTGCACCCTGTGTGCTTAGTACTTTACCTGAAGTACATCACCTCTTTTTTGCTTTGTATTGAACTTACCTTTAAGACGTACTTTACCCAACAATGGGTAACGGTGCCCGTGTAACTAAGGTTTAGTTGGCAATAACTGCTAAAACGTTAAGCGAAACTAAGGTTTAGTATCCTCGTTCGGCGCCCTTAACTGCATTTAAGTCAGACTTCAGTCGCACTTAAGTGCAGTTGAGGGTTCCCGTGTAACTAAAGTATAGTTACCAGTAACTGCTGTATATTTGAACGTGACTGACGTTTAGGATGCCCGTTGGGAAGCCATAACCGCATTTAAGTGTGACCTCAATCTCACTTGACTGTGGTTAAGCATGCTCGCGTAACTAGGGTATAGTTGGCGGTAACTGCTAAATATATGACCGCAACTAAAGTTTAGGATGCTTGTTGGGCACCTTTAAACGCATTTAAAGGGTTATGAAGCGATATCGGGTTGGAATGTTCATGACGGAGCAGAGGCGTACTGGTACTCCTATTCTGGCCCAAGTATACTTGCACAGACCGTTACTGATTCAGAATCGTGGTGAATTTGCGAGGTAAAAAGGGGACTACTTCTTTCAGTCTTGCCTTCGCAAACCTTGAAGACGTAAATATGGGGTCGAAACCATCCGCCTGACGACAGTCGAGCGCGGCTCATGGATTGGACACGAGAACTGCGTAAGCACTCGACTTCGGCCCATAGCAACCAATGCCTCGGTGGACACTCGGGTAACGGCTCGTGTACAACCACTGCGGTTATGAGAATAGCCGAACTCTAACGATGCCTGGAGCTCAGCACGCGTTTTATACGCTGCCTGTTCCAGCGCATGGGTATGATTAATGTTAGCGGCATAGAATAGGCACCAGGCCACGTGGCCGCTTGTTCTGGCTCCGAGTTGAGAGGATGAACGATGCTCATATTTCTCGAATTTTTGGGGAGACTGCCATTGCCTGCAAAGGAAAACTAAGGCAAGTTTATTTACTTATTAACATGAGGGAGTGATTCTAAGTAGTATTTAGAAAAAGCAGAAAAGTCGTTTCATGGCTCCTTTAAGTATGTATTCAGTCACTCTTAAAGGGCAACTCCGCTTCATTTTTGATATTTAGAAAACTATGTAGCCCTCTTCAGTATCATATAGGAAGACCCCACGTCAAATATTACGATCGAATTCCGTTTATTTATTTAATAAACTGGCCAGCAGACCTTCAAGCGAGCGAAGTCGCCGAAATCTGACAACTCTAGCGTGCGACGTGAGGCGCAATCGTCAGCGCAGTCGATGCGACGGAGTTTGAGTGGTTTGAGCGGGAAACGTTGAGCCACTACGACAGAGGCATGACTACGTCCTGCTCACGTTTTGTTTGTTTTTACTTCTCAGAGCGAAATTGAACGATGACGTCATGAGTTTCTCCTCCCGGTGTTGGCTGACCGGGCGTTCACGTGGTCACCGTAACGCGGATGCGCTAGTTTGCGCTGCCCTGCGCGCTTACCGGTCTTCTTCCCTTCCCCTTCTCCTCTTTCGTCTTCTTCCCTTCCCCCTCTCCCCCGGGCCATAACCGTCCACGCCATGCGAAGCGACCTGCCCGCGTCGCGTGTCCTGTCCCTCGCTCCCTCCCGAACGTCACAAGACCACGTGGTTCGACGTGACGTGGCCATGACTCTGACGACCCGAGACCAATGCTGCCTGACGCAACCGAAGTTTCGGTTTCGGTATCAGCTGGGCCCGTTTGCTCGAAGCTGGTTTACTAACCGCGGTTAACCGGATTTCCCTACGAGGGGGAATTTTAGGTCACGTGACCTGCAGAGTAGGGACGCCGGAGTAAAATAGTACCTAGCATCAGACAATATGTCCAATATGGCTGCTACGGCCGCTCGTCACGCTTGGGAACATTTATTTTTACGAAGATGCGTCATCCTCGTGTCACGAAAAGGACATTTCAACACAAAGTCTACTGTCGGAGTTGACGGCGAGCATGCTGTGGGAGCAGGGCCACGCCTGACTGGTTTCGTCGAGTTTGAATAACATCACGCACCGCCCTCTGAAGTGGACTTGTTTTATTGAATGCTACAGTCAGCGGGATCTTCAAAACGTATATCCTAGGTAAGTGCCGCGATGTTTCACGAGAAAGTTATGAGATTGTACCGCTATCAAAATTTCATGTCAGCAGAACTTGCGTTGTAATCAACGTCCAGCTTTCTTTTCTTTTTTTCACTTTTAAAACCTACCTCGAGCCCCAATCGCATGTTAGTGCAACAAATCTCTCTCCAAAAAACGGCCTCTAATCGCGGAGTCTGGTTTATAGTACAGTTCGTCGTGTTTTGTATTTGCAGCGCATCCACAACACCGACGACCCCCTTTAGCGACGGTTCAACGAAGGCAAGATGCAAACTAAAAACTTCCCTCAGAAGCAAAGATCCGTTACCTCAACAGAAGCTGCCGGCACGGATGCCGGCACGGCATTCGATCGAACTTCGGTACTGTCGTCTGCGAACTTGTACAACTGGAAAATAAACAAAGCTTCTATCGGAAAAGAAGTGTGCATATTTTCTCTTGCGCTTGTCTTTCTTCAATTTATTTTGTTTCAGATAACTAGATGTCTTATTAGGATTATAAAGAGAGACATAATTACGTAGCAGACGATCACAACCAATCTGAAATCTAAAATGAGTCAGGCGAATGCAAGCATCACCATGAAACGGCAGAGGAATTGGTCATTGGATGAACAATTAGAACTAATTCGGGCAGTGGGGGAGAGGAAACATCAAATTATGGGCAAGTTCAGTGCTACGGTCACGACCCAAACAAAAAGGCAGGCATGGGACGAAATTTACAGAGCCATGGGCTGTTTGCGCACCCCAGACCAGCTACAACAGTGCTGGAGAAACCTCCTAAAAAAGACTAGACAACTCTACAGCTTATTCAAGAAGCATGAACAGCGCACCGGTAAGTTCATTGTGTTCTTAAGTTCAAAAGATATTGCATTGCTTTAGTGATAATACATGAGCAACCAAACCTAGAAACGTGAATGTGGACATTTGTATATTCGTTCACCTTTGCCCTCTGCTGGGAGTCGACTTTTCACCTTCCTTGAACAGCAGCAAAAGCAGTGTTACAGCATCAGAAAACAATTTATTCCAGTTTATGTACAAGTTCTGCACAGGCTGTATGGAACTTGTAAAACAGTTCAGTGGAAGACCCAAAACTTCGGACAAAATATTAAAACAGATTATAAGAGAGCACAATGGTAGAGGCCGACAGGCCAAACTGTAAGAAAGTAAAAATTGCACGATTACACAGTCCACAGTTTCAGCAGTGTTATCTAGCAGTTAATGAATGTTTAAAAGAATGTCTCATGCAGTATTTGTTTATTTTAATTTTCCCATGAAAGTTCCATTTACATACTTGGTTGAACAGTGAACCCCACCTCCTCTGTTTTTGCTCGTAACTCGAGTAAGTAAGAGTCGAGACGAAATTACTACGCCTTAATTCATAGGTGCTGGGCCAAACCCCCACGTCCTGACGCCCCTCGTCGAGGCCGTCCTCGAAGTGATCGGCGAGGACTCGCCCAACCTGTGCGGGTTGGAGGCCACCATAGGTGACACCGAAGAGTAGGTGACTGGTTTCTAGACCCGATTGTGTGAAGAGTAAATGGTTTTAAGGAACCGGTCACAGTAATGCAGAACTGTCGTTCCAGGCGAGGTTCTAAAAGACGAGGACAAATGATGATAAGAAGATGGGCATGTTGCCATTTGAATGGCATTACTGCCGAGTGCTTTTATATAAAGACCAGAGGCCGGATGCCCGAAACTTTCTTACAACAAAGTTACAAACTTTTGAGTATTCCCGAAGCAAAATGTTTGTAAGTTTTGCGCAAGTTCTGACGAAATCCGTAGCTTGCGCAAAACTTACGATCTTTGTGCTTCGGGAATACTTAAAAGTTCGTAAATTTGTCATAAGATAAATCTACTAACTTTTTTGTCGTAAGGAAGTTCCGGGAATCTGGCTTCAGTTCTATTTCAACAACAAAAGCTCAAAGGCGGTTCGAAATATAAGTCACGAAACCGTCTTCCAGAGTGCACTCTAAGATCTGACGAGGCACCAGCGCTACCACATTTCTAATTATTTTCAACAAGGCTGAAACAGTTTCACCGAAGCTACAAATTCATGCAATAACACGGCATGCAATGAGAAATCAGGTGGTAAAGCTGTTTATTACCATCTTATAGAAATTAAATGCAACAAAGTGGCAATGGCTTTTCTTTAATGCTAACTGTAGCACGCTTTCAATATGCAAATTAAAAGATCACACACAGTACAACCATCCTGTTGCTTGTTTTACCAACTTAGGAAAATTGGCTCAAACATTAACTTCATTCTGGTCAAGAAGTTAACTACCCCCATGATGGTAACCTGTGTGAGTGAAATCAGTACCAGTGAAGCTATGTGCTGTAATGTTTGAAGTTGTCCTATAAATGTGCAGTGCATTGTGGTTTGACTGGACATGTGACCACTAAATTTATGAACTGTTAATCGCATAGCTACACAGCTGCATTCTAACCTTTAGAATGCAGCTGTGTGCTCTTCACAACCAAATGCACATTTTCCTACACCATGTACTGGGCAATTGTGCAAGAAGTAACAACACTGCGCTCCGACCTCAAGCCTGTGCGTCAGTGTATAAACCAACTTGGCTCACAAACTTTGTCCTCTGTACCAACCCGTATGAATGAATTTTGGCGCAGCATCGGTGTCTTTATCAGGGTTACAAACTTTGCACAGTGTGTTCTCTTTGCCCATGCTGACAAGAACAAAACCTGACCACTTTTTACACATGAATTTGTCGCAGTGACAGCTCCAGGGGAATAGATCCACAGCCTGGTCCCTCTGGGAGCGGAGCAAGTGCGGCAGTGCTGCACGAGAGTCGGCCGCTGGAGGCGGTGCAGCGGGCTCCAACAAATGTGCCATACAGCCGACGTTGGTGCCGGGAGGCTTCACAGCGCTTCTTGCAGGAGACAGAAAGGCAGCAGCAGCTCGAGGGAGCTAATCTCCTGCTGGAGAAGGAGAGCACAGAAATGGTTAAGCAAGCTGCCACGGCAACAATTGCAGCAGCAACTGCTGCCGAGGAGTTCTACCAGCAGTCAAAAAAATTACTAGAGGACCAAAAAAATTTAATTCAACTGGAAACACAGCGTGCAGAATTGGAAATCAAATTGCTAAAAAAACAATTAGGAGAAGAGTAAACATTGACATATTACGCTGTTTTTAATTTTCATTTTGAATGTATATATATATGACAAAGCCAACACAGCTGCTGATAAATAAAATCCATTTTACTTGCAACTGTATATTTCTAGATTCAGATCTGCTATACTCTGTCTCGTCCTACGATGGACTAAAGCCCAATGCTACACGCCGCCGGGTCCAATCACGAGCCTGTTTGAAACCATGTGGTATATTTGCTCCGTCAAACATATCGGTGCGCCGAAACGTGTCATGCGAAGACAAGTTTTTCATCTGCTTATCGAGAACTAACGGCGGCTCCGCCTGCTTGCAGGGTTTTTGCTCTAGTTCCTTGTCACAGCACGAATAGTTGCGACGCTCAAGGAATCTTGACTGCTGATCCATCTCCGTGTGCTCTGTCCGTACCGCCGTCAGCCTCGTATGCGCCTCAGTTGCCGCTAAGACTAAAAGCCTGCCTTGCATGTACTCATCGGAAGATCTTCTGGCTAATTTTATCATTTGCCTAATTTATCTTCGTATCTCCCTGAACCATAGCCTATGGTATTCGTGTTCCCGCTGCGCCGGGGTAATCGGCAGCAGTAGTCAAGCGTAATATGTGGGGACGGCGTGGGCGAAAATTCCACTCTCTTCCAACCTAACGCAGAAACAACATTTGGTATTCCAATGTTTGATCAATTAAAAACAAGCAGAATGCACTGGTACTCAAGACCATGCAAAGCAGCATGTGCAATATATTGGTATACTTACGCTCAACCGAAGAACTGGCTGACGATGGCATCCCGAGCCTCGTTGCTTTCATCACGGCCCGCTGCCACGGGCTCGACGGGAACCTCTTCGGGGAGGACAGTCCTTGGCATGCTGCAGGGGTATGTCTTGGCCAGGTTGTGCAGGACACAGCAGGCAACAGTGATGTCGCAGCATCTCTCTGGCTGCATCCTCAACTCAGCATGGAGGCAATGAAATCTCCGCTTGAGCTGGCCTATTGTCCTGCACAGTGTATAAATAGAGCAAGATCTGTTATCCTTTTGAAGTGGTTTATAAGAACATCTAATGAGATCGGCATGCGATGTCTATCATCGCTCTAGCCCATCGAAAACATGGTATTATGCCTAATAGTTAATATTTTTGTTGGAATATTTTAACATAGTAATGAAATGCAGATTTTGTTAAAGATTTCAGTGATGTGATTGGTCTGAGTCATTTTGGAGCAGCCCTTGGAGCAGTCAAAGGTCAATTATGGTGCAACAAAAAGAACTTTTGTAGCATAAGCGCACATTCATTTTTATTGATACCAATGCAAACATCACGTCAAGATTAATTTTTCGGCCTGTCCAACTAAAGGGCAAAGTCTACGTTGCCTTCTCACATACGTTCAAACCTTTGTTAGCATCAACTGCGCAGCAAGAGTTCCTCAAACACAAAACTATAGCGTTCAGTTGCGTGGAGAAGCACCATGACAGGGTAACAAAAAGGTGAGTGATGAAGGACAGCACAAACTCCTTTAAATGGTTATTTTAGGTACTGAATGCCACTAAATTAGTACAATAACATTGGTCACATAAACTGATGTTTCCTTCAAGTTCTAGAGGTTGTAATAAAACTGCAATTTATAAATGAGATAAAAAAACAAAGCAATTATCATTTGATTATCAACATAAATTACATTTTATCTGTAGAACTTCAGAGCAAAAACGGCATGTGAACGAAACTTAAAAACAAACCCGCCGAACTCATTCAGGCTCTTCCTGAGATTTCATCCACTGCTCCTGTCAATTTAGTTCTAATCTACTCGCACCTACAGAAAATTGATAGCTAAACAAATGAGTTGGCATAAATAAATAAACATGCATAAGAGCATATATAAATGCTCTTGCAATACCAAAGTACCCTTACTAAATCTCGAAATTGGAAAAGGTGCCGCCGGGATCTTGTAATCCATCATATTTACGAGCCGAAGTTGTGTTCAGGAATTGTGTTGAGTCTCACTTTGGAGGAGAGCTTTCTCCTTAACACAGGGTCCGCTGCAGAGAAGCAAGACATACAAAGTTGCGATGCCTACTCCGTGGTGTTTGCTTCTTTGCAGTACACCGGTGCGTGGTGAAAAGCGCATTCAACGACACTATAGTCCGTTGCAACCTAAGAACGAAGGGCGAGGTTAAGAAGGGTTGGGGAGGAGGAAGCAGGCGGAACGCTAAAGAGAGAAGGAGGTTTCCCCCTCTCTTCTCTAGCGTTCCGTCTGCTTCCTCCTCCCCGGCCTGTCTTACCCTCGCCCTTCGTTCTTAGGTTGCAACGGACTATAGCTAACCCTCCAGAATGAACAGACGACTAACATAAAAATTATTGCGAAACTTCCAGATATTGCCTGTCATTCATACGAAATGTGATGGAATGGTATTGTATACGAGACTATAATCAAAAGTTTTGAAAACCTGAAAACTTGCGTAAGCATATCGTGACAGTCCGGCCGGGCAGCGAAGCCCGAGCTATTATATTTTCAGTATTATTAAAATGAAAATAAGTTTTGGTGCTACGTTGGTGCAAATTTCTCACATTTTTGTTAAATGTAGCAGGACGTAGCAGGGTAATCACTTTGGCGCAAATGGCGCAGCAATCCCATCACAGATATAATGAAAATGTTCTTCGCAAAAACTTGCAAGGAAAATTGCAGTTTGAGATAAGCAGTATTTAATAAGATATGCTTGAATAAGTCTGTACACAAACTGTCTAAAAACAAAACCTGCCTAAGCCAGTGTTTTTTTTTTCTAAGAATTGCTTTACATTTAGGCAATATAGAGTAACAAAAAAAATTAACTGCTATTGTTTGAAATGTGTAAACAGCTAGTAAAAACCTGTAGGTTAATAAACCCAGTCATACAGGAAGGATATGTTTCAGAGAAGTTCTAACTTCTATTCTGGAGTTTATACAGAAAAGAGCAAATGAAATATAACAATTATTGTGACATATAGAGTTCACTGGCTAATGGTTGAATTTTGTGAATTGATGTTCTTCATTCCCACAATGCTGGCTAACCTTAGAATAAACATTTCAGGCTATGGCAGTAGGTTATAGCCCGTAGTATAAATAAGGTATAGTAGAGATACGCCTTCCTCTCCTTGCTTCTGAGCAGCCGTAGCCTACTATGCAAGAACATAAAAATGGCAACAAATGTAAAGCTCAGGCACAACCACATAAAAAAGGTTAGGTGCCTCAAGGTACCGAAACACTGAACCGTCGAACCAGGACGCATAGCCTGGCTTTACCGTTCCACGATGCTCCTCGTTGTGCTATGTGACGCATTGTAGGCGACCTCCGCTGCTGATGACGGAGACAGGAAGGGCGTCATCAGCCATGGCTTGCAGGTGTAGCCGCTGTCTCCAAGCAGTAGGCCCTCGTAAACGCCATCGGCCAGCTTGCCTGACAACGAGCCCTCGGTGAATATCCTAGAGTCGTGGGTGCTTCCAGGCCATTTTGCAACCACATTGCGGATACGGTAAAAGACGTCAACCACTAACTGTACATTTATTGAATGGTACAGATGGCGGTTAACGTACACCTCCTCATGCACTTGTGGTGCCTGTATCCGAATGTGAGTGCCATCAACAGCACCCACGACCGAAGGAAACCCACCGATCTCAAAGAAGGCCTGTTGTAAGGCATGACCCTCAGCTTCACCTGGCCACCTGCATTGTAGATGGATTTGAGTGAGTCTGTAGCACTATGACATTAACAGTGACAGTTTTGTTGTTATGATCACATGCTTCAAAATAACACAGCTATCATTCATCGTCATCAATAGTGAGCAATAAAAGCCTCGTCTGCACAATGACAGTACTCAGTAGCCGCAAGACTAGCTCAGTAGCAACAAGTGCATAGTTGGGAGTGCAGAAACCAGGCTGTTTGTAAATGTCTGCACTCCTACTTTATTTGTAGATTAGCTGAATTTGCACCTGCACCAATAATAGGTACTAAGGGAGTCATTTTGTACACTCCAGTTGGTTCGTGTAATTTTACTGCCCAGTTCACTGGTCTGCATGTCACGCTCATTACCAAAAAACAAATATCGAGTGCTGAAGCAACACTTCTAATGATCCTTTAGGGAGGTACCAGTATACGTGGGGATCGATGCGCTGGCAGATATTCAGGCTAGCAAGCCTACAGTTTAGGAAACAAAAACGAAAGGGTCATTGCGCAGGTGGTGCGCCGTAAATAAATTGCAGAATAGGTGTGCGGAGAAGACCACCTTTAACGAATTCGGGGGTTTCAGCGAACACAATTCACGCACCGAAATTTCTATACAAAGGGTTTCTGAAATAATGGTGATTGCTCATCGAGCAATCTAGGCCCAGGCTTTTTTTCTCGGAAAACTGGCCTGCACATGCGCCTAATATCGGGACGCACCAGAGATGCTCCAGACCACTTACCCTATGAAGTCTTGGGCACGACGTGCCAAGGCCTGAGTCACCCGCCTCACAGTCCGCGAAGCAGTGGAGACGTGCACACGGATGTAGTCCCCTGCGGTGATGAGGAAGTTCCCCGTGGCGTAGAACTGTAAGGCGACAATGACCTGCTGCTCTGCAGAGAGGGCGCGGCTGCGACGCGTCGGCCGCTCCAAGTCCGGGCGCAGTGTGTCGGCGAGGAACACAATGCCCGCGCGACCGAATCGAAAGCGCTCCTGCAGTTCGTCCTCATCGAACTCCTCCAAAGGGTTCAAGCGGTCACGGAACACACGCTGCCGTCCCATCATCACAACAGCGTACTGGGCGAACACGCGCTCTCTTCGATGTCGGCGTCGCGTCACAGTCGACATTGCGTCCCTTATCTTCACCAATCCGTCTGCAAATCAGTTGTCAGTCAGTCCGGTAGTCAGTCGGCCAGCGAGTCGGAGGGTCGGTTGGGCAAACGGCAGGAGAAGACAAACAGTGAAAATCAGGTGATAACTAAAGCGCGGGAAACGTGCGTCGCAAAACACGGAGAACAAAACAACCAAAAACAACGAATCTATAAAGACCGTTGCCAGACCCGAAATCAACGCTGCAAACTTATGCTGTGTTTGGCGGCACAATAGATGCATCAAGATATTTATTATTTTTTTAAAGTACATATATATTTTCATGCATAAAAAGAAACATTGTGATACGATGTTGTTTTTATTTTTCTTAATAAAGACAAAACTAGCAAAAACGTTTCTTAAAAGGCTATTGTTTGCTTCGACCGGAAGGTGGCGGGAGCTACCGCATAATAATAAAACACGGAGAAATTGTGCGTTGAGTTTTTGTCGAACGCGGCTAGGTACTCGGATGTACCTAGGTAGGGAAACGCGGTTAACTTTTAACCGCGGTTAGAGTTAACCAGCTTCGAGCAAACGGGCCCAGGTGTTTAAATTAGGATTACACAAATAATATTCCACATCTCGCGAATCCGAAGACGAAGAGTTGTTTAGTAGTGCTTTGTGAATTTGAATCACATGTAAGCCTAAATTTTTCGGAATTGAGCGGAGTTGCCCTTTAACTACGTTCAATGGTTCCCGTGCAACTAAGGTATAGTTGGCAGAAAATACTAAACATCTAAGCGTAACTGAGGTTTAGGACAGCCGTTGGGCACCCTTAACCGCATTTAATTGTAACTAAGGTATAGATGGTAGTAACTGCCAAACATATAAGCGCAGCTGAGGCTTCTGATGCCTCATAGGGCACCCTGACCTCAGTCACTCTAAACTGCGGTTAAGAGCTCCCGTGTAACGAAGGTATAGTTGGCAGTAACTGCTAAACATTTAGGCGTAACTGAGGTTTAGGATGTCCGTCGGGCACCCTTGAGCGCACTTACGTCTGACCTCAGTCACACTTAACCCCGGTTAAGAGCGCCTTCGTAACTGAAGTACAGTTGACAATATCTGCTGAACATTTCGGCGTAACAGGTTGAGGATGCCCGTTCGGCACCCTTAACTGTCTTTAGACCTTCTGGGAACAATGTGTTCCCCACATCTTTATCTAGGCCTGGCTCAGGCAGGCCGTGGGGCGTTGCCATGTGGGGGCGCGTCCCGTATGCGAGTCGAGGCTGTATTTCCTTGTGGACGGCTTTCCCTCGCCCTTCTCGGGTGATTTGCCGAAGGCACACCCCTCAGGATCAGGACTTGGACGCGTCCGCCCCTCCGGGGAGCCAACCTACATCTGACTCACCCCGGGCGCGTCTATTCCCGCAGGCTATATCGGCCCAAATTCAATGGCACGGACTCTTGCTGGGTGAGGCTCTGCTCGACGGAGCCTTCTTTTCTTCTTCTGATCCTCAACCTCCGTGATACTTTCAATAGTGGCAGCGCCGACTCCGACTGGCGATCCTGTCAAAAAACACAGCGCCATCATCTCCAACATTGTTGACCCCCAGGGCAAGCGTGTGGCTTTATCGTCAATAAACGCGTCTTTATCCGGACCGAAAGAACCTCCTGTGTGTCTCAGGGCCGGTTGCACCAACGCCGCTTACCTTAACCCAAAGCGGCACTTTCCTAAGCCGGCTTAGCGCCCTAAACCGAGCTCAGGTAAGCACGGGTTTAAATTCTGGTTGCACCGACGTTAAGCCGGCCTTACAGAAGCGCCCCTAGATAAACGCTGGATTTGCGTAGGGAATCTAGGGACAAACAGAGCGAACTAGGGAACGCTCAGAGAAACGAATACTATTGGCGAAGAGAAATCACGTGATGTAAAAAAAAAGAAAAAACTGCCGTAGTAGTCGTCGTTGGCGTCTGCTTTTCGCTGTTTTTCTTCGGTGAGTAACAAATTAAAGGTCTCCAAATTCAATCATTTTTTCGTTTAACTTTCAATAACAGAAGTCAAAGCTTCAAATAAACACGAATGCTCTTTACATCTGTGATTGTGTGTTTAATATCGGTTGATAACAGGATATTTTGACAGTGGTAGTAGTTTTCGTGCTCACATTTTGAGGTGAAGGAGTCATCGGGGACTCTACTCGCTACATCGCTGAAGACAAAACATCATCGATATAAGTAGGCAGGTAAGATGACTACTAAAATCAAGTCAAGCCTGAGACCGATGAAGTTCAAAACAGTGACAAACTCGCCACGGCAGCTGCGAAAATGGCCGGAAATCGTCGAACAGAAGTCGTCGAGAGGTCAGGTCACGAGACCTTGCATCGACGGTACTCGTTGCTATCAGCAAGGTGACAGAACTCCACTGTACCGTCGTTGAACATCCGCTGCAGCCTGAAACGGACTTCAGTTTCACACTGTCGAGTTCAGAAAAAAAAACTCCCACTAGGGGTACTATTCTGGTCGCAAACGGGTACCTTTCGAGTTGTGACGTATCGAGAAAGAAGGGGCGGAGCCTCAAACTAGAATGATTCTTGTTTGAGGCTCCGCCCCAACGTCCGGGTTCACGCACGCGGTCAGCTAGAATCTGACGATGCCCTACGTCGCGGTGACGTGTCCACCCAGTTGGGGCGAAGAAATCCCTGCATTTCCCCCTGTTCTTTTTGTTATCTTTTTCCTTTCTTCCGGGACTTAGAACGAGCGAATAACAGAGAAAAGGCTACCTTCCGGAAAATGGAAGGAAACAGAGAAAAATAATATTATCCTTTTATAAAATACGAAAGATTATTTCAATAATTACGACGTAAAGTAAATTTAGCTAAGATATCTCAGCTTGTTTTCTCGAAGTCTTTCGCTACGGTCTTTGAAAACAAACATGGCGAAAACCGCGGTAACGACCTTGTGGTGTTTGTGTCTCGTTTGAGTCGTTGCTTTCCCTGCTTCTGCACGATACGGATGGCATTACGAGAAAAAAAAATATTACGTGAAGGTGCGCTGCGACACCGATCATCCTTCGTGAAGCCGCCGTGAACATAAACTGCAAATGAAATTTCTTGTTTGCCAGTGAAGGAGACTTCAAATGGATACAGAGCTGACGACGACTCTGTGGTAGCAGAGCTGGCCAAATTACTCATATTTTGTAATTAAATTACATTACTAATTACTTTGCTGAAAATTGCTTAAATGTAATTAAATTACATTACAAATTACCACAGCCAGAAAGTAATTAATTACCATTACAAATTACTCTTAAAAGTAATGACATTACTTTCGCATTACTTTTTGTATACTTTTAAATATAAAGGAGCTATTGGTAACTTCCTTTTACAGATAACTTTATTTACATTATTTACACAGTTCATGGCACGCACCTAGAACTCTCTGTTGCATGTTTACCGATGGACAGAGGAACGCACGCGACTGATCCGTTTCCCACCCCAACTCGGACAACTATTTTTGGAGATGACTGAGGACCCTACGCGGATTGTCTTTGGGAGGGGGAGAACAATTATCATTGTTCGCAAAATCGCGTCGAGGGCCGTTCCACCAGACGCCTTAGTTCGACATACTTCCCCTCCTTCGTTTCCCGTGAATGTCGAGCAGAAAAGCTTGAATGGAAGGCACTTACCAGCCCTGTTTCTCACAGTGGAAGATAACACAGAGAGGGTACGCAGTATGCATCAGAAAAAGTAAGCGGAAACTTTCAAGAGGGGCCAGAAAACGTTGAATGCAAAACCGCAAAACATAGGTAGAGAATCGCGCTAAGCGGGTTTTCACAGTTCAAGAGAGTGGCAGAGAATAGAGAGTTTTAGTAGATCGTGTTTTCAGGCCACGCTAATCGTAACGGGAGCTCGCGCTGCCACTTCGATGCATGCTAACAAGCGCGCGCTCGTAACGGTAGCGGGCCTTTGAAAACGATCTACTAAAACTCCCTAATGTCTAGCTGATAGCGGGCGCGAGCGTCGCACCAGCCGCGTTAGCATCAGCAACATAGCGGCGGCCAAAGAGCGTTTTTGGAAAGGTGTAGAGGAAAAAAAAAAAAGTAAAATAAAAAGAAAAGCGCTCTTGTGTATTGTGGACACAAAAAATATGCCTGGTGCGAAAAAGTAATTAGGTAATTTAATTACAATTACCGTCGCAGGAGTAATTCTTACATTACTAAATTACCTGCTACAAAAAGTAATGAATTACATTACTAATTACTGGAACAAGTAATTAAATTACTGTAATTTCATTACAGTAATTGCACTACTGCCAGCTCTGTGTGGTAGTATATGGCAAGTCATGAGGTCGACGCAGAGTGCAACGGTTGTGAGCATTGTGTGGATGATGCAGGAAAGTTTCTTCGGGCAGTTTTAATAATGCTTTGCTCCTTTGCTCACTGCAGTGATTATGCCGGTATAGTCTCCATTAGCCATGCTCTTCTCTTTCGGCGCTGAAGAAATGCACGCGACGGCATAATCTCTGGCAGTCTTTTTTACTTGATTTTATTTGCAGAATAGCTCGTGCAAAAAAAAAAAAAAAAAAAAAACCGCTTTTACGTTTTTACACGTCCCTACATAGGTACCTCGCTTTCCCATTGGCTTCATTGCGCGTGACGATTCAACGACATTTGCCATGGAAACGTTCGTGAAACTAGAAAGCCTATGTTTGCCGCTAACAGTCATTTTTCGAGTTCGGGTTGTGACGACAAAATGACGTAAGAACAAGAATGCACTGGCCTATTTGCATTGTTTTAACTCGACAACCGTACCCTTGGCGAGTTAAACACGAAAGAACATGGCCGCGATGCTCGTCGGATCGACCGCGGCTGGGGTTTGACATGCGATCGGTCACTTGATCAACGCGCACACGAATACTTTCGTGCTGTTGGATGAGCCCATTCGGCGGCAGGACCGGGTCGAAGAGCACAGTGAGCTGGCGTTTAACGTCTCCGATGTAACGCTTGGCGAGATGCAAGACTTGGCTTCTATTTGTGCCGGTGTTATGAAGCTTGAAAGTGGTGGTG